ATGAATAGAAAAGCTCGTTTCTGATTGGTCCGATTCTCAACCAATCAAAGCTCAGATCAAAAATCTGCCTTCGGATTCGAACTCCTAGTCCCCGAAAACCTATAGTAAAGTTTCATCAGTATGGTCGAAAACCAGAAGAATAGAAAAACTCATTTCTGATTGGTCGGTTTGTCGACCAATAAAAGTTCAGATCAGAAATCCGACCTCAGATTCGGACTCCTCGCCCCCGATAACCTATGGAAAAGTGTCATCAGATTACCCAAAAACCTAAAAATATAAAAGCTCGTTTCTGATTGGCTTGGACAGAGAAACATGCATACATTTTTCGATTATAAGACCCTTTCTTTCAGAAAAGGGAACAACATCGTCGTCCAATGTCAAAACAGAGTGAGTAATTATTTTTTCTTTTTTTCAGATGAGAATAGGGAAGAGAGGGATGAGAATAGATAGTAACATTGAGATTGAGGAGGGTTAGGGTGAGACTTAGAAGAGTGAGTGTTAGTGGGGGGAAGGGGTGAGTTATGTCCATTGAGGGGTAGATCTCTGTTATCTATCAGGTCTTCCGGACTTAGACCTAAAACACCGGCCAAGAATTGTCTTGGTGTCCGTGGCACACGACCGGGCCCCCCAGACTCATTGACATATCTCTCGAGTGGGAGGGATATGAATGATTTGAGTCTGTCCCGTACGTGCATGAGCGTTACGCTCGCCACCGCTCCACCAGGATGGTTCCTGATCGCGCGCACGAATAGAATAGACATTGTTTTCATCAATCAACATGATTTATTTGAGCGAAAGAAAGGAAAAAAAATAATCCATCATAGTCAGTCTATTCGATAGAAAATCGTTGAACACGAGCATTCCTGCAATCGACGACATACAGATTGCCATGTCGATCGAAGGACAAACCCTTGGGATTGTCGAATTGATTTGCTCCTTCTCCTTCACCGTTCCCACCCACAATGACAGTGCCCTGTTTTGCTCCTTTAGGCCAACGCATCACTCGATGATTCGACGAGTCTGACACATAGATGGTACCTAATGTATCGACGAACAGTCCCATAGGCAGTCTCAATTGTGTCAGAGCATTCTCGTTGCCTTGGCCTCCAGCGACGACAATCCCTTCTTTTGCACCTTTATTCCATTTCATCACACGGTGGTTCTCCTTGTCTGATACGTAGACAGCGTATTGTCGATCGACAAAGACGTATGTCGGAGAGTTGAGTTGATTAAGACCAGCACCTCGGCGATTACCACCAGCTATAAGAGTTCCATCCTTATCTCCTATTTGATATCTTCTTATTTCATGTTTCTCGTCGTCGGAGATGTAAAGGTATTTCTGATCATCCATAGCCAATCCTCGACAAGCGATATTATCAATGAGAATTTCACCTTTAGTTGTGCCACTACGACGAAGCCATCGTACAACTCGTCGATTTCCGTGATCACAGATAATGAGACTATCAGTCTCGTTGTCGATTAACAAATCAGTTGGACCATTCAATTGATCTAATTGATTTCCTTGGCCACGACCACCAGCGATGACCTTTCCATTTGTATCACCTATCTTCCATTGGATGATACGATCATTGCCGTAGTCAACGATGATCATCGTTTGATCATCATCAAAGAAGAGACCTTCAGGCCAAAGGAGTTGATGAGAGGCATGTCCTGCTTCATGGCCTCCAGCGACGGTTACTCCATTCTTTATCCATCGAGCATTGACTGGAATATTAGGAACGACTACAATGAACAAGAAAAAGATAAGAAATCGTTATCGTTTCGACGAGATTTCATCTCGCGTAAGAGGAAAGTACTTTACAACAGATGAGAAATTCTCCTTCGTCCAAGGAAATCACTCTTTGCAAAGCGCTTTCTGAATATCGAAGACCTTTTTCTTTTATTTATGAGTCTAGCAGAACAGGTTTTGTTTTAAATTCAAATGAAAGATGTTACTGGAGACCTAACAATCATATTCCATGCATGTGCACTGTTGGAAGTCTAAAACTATACTTAAAAAAATCTAATCTTAGGAATAGAAATAGTTCACTTCAAACAAACACTCAATTGAAAAAACGGAACGCTGATTCTTATGTTAAAATATATGATGAAAGCTATGATAACTATAAAAGAAACGCATCTAACTACTATACACCCTGTGAAAGTAACCTATATAACGAACACATTCTAGATTTTACACCATTGTTAGTCGCTTATTTTTTCTTTTTTGGATTTTTTGAATATATGAAATGGCACAGACATGGAAAAATAAAACTCGTAACATCTGAACCATCATCCAAAATTGACTATATGTACTCAATTGGCGTAATTATTCACAATATACTATGATTCATTGACATTCTTATGTTTTTATGGAATCTACAGCTGAATTTTTGATAACAATGTAGATATTATACATATAAAATTATATCTCTTCAATCTGGTATAGACAAAAAATGAAAAAATCAAATAAAAATAAGTCCTGAACTTTATGAAATAGATAATCAAAAAAAAAAAGCCTTATTCTTGATATCTAACTAGAACTATTCGCTTCTTCGGTATATCTGCTAATGTGAATCAGTCATAGCTATCTGCGATTTCTATGAAAGCACTAAAAATTAAAAAAATTGTGTAGTTCGTATTGATTTACTCGTATTTCGTCATTGATCTACGAATGAACTATATTCATTCTTTACTAAATATACAAAACCAGTTAGGAATCCATGATTCAAAACATAGAACGAGATACTATGAGTGAAAGAAAAAAAAACAACTAAACATTGGAACTGGTCCATAAACAATTAGATCCTTACAACAAAAATAAAATTTATATTTGCTAGCTTTTCATGAAGAAATATCATCTTCGATATGTTATAGAAGAAGAGAAACAATTGTACGACATGTTCTCAACTTTGATTCGTATCTTATTTTTTCGTCTGTTTCGGAGAACAATAAATTGCCCAATTCTCAATGGATTGCATTTTGGTTCTCATGGTTGAGCTATTAAGAAAGAAATATAGTGGTCTTATATCACAGTAAGAACTCAACTTGAATCCTTTTTTTTTGTTTGTTTGAAAGCTCGTTTTTCTCGAAAAGATGACCTTCATCATGAAAAAAATGCATTTGTTCGAACAATATTCAATTAAAAAGCTAGTTTTCACCAGTAAGTTCCTCAACTTTCGTGAGGATCATTTTTGTTCTAATATATCCATTAGAGTTCGAACTTTATTTCATTTTAATCGATTTTTTCCTCGAACCGAAAAAATCGATTAAAATGGTTCGCACTATAATTGAATATGATAAAAAAACCTGCTTATTTTTCAATTTTTGAAGATAGATTTGATTTGATCTAAGTCTTTCTTATTCAATTTGAAAAGAAAATGTTTCAATCAATTAATTAATAGTAATTGATCGAAAACAAAAGGCTACGATCAATGAGAATCTATTTTTCAAGCGAGTAAATCACGATTTTGAATATTGTCATCGATTTTCATTTAAAACGTCGTCGACTTTTATTATAATTTTTCTTCAAAAATTTTAACAAACATCAGGTTATAATATTGTTTAGTTATTAAACTAGTTGATACTAATATAAAACATTAAGAACAACAAAAATTGATTTTATTCCCATATAGACTTCATATTTATTGAATGAATTTTCAAAATAAAAATATCTCAATCTATATAACAGATTGTTTCAAGATCTGTCTATTACAAAAACCAGCGATTTTTTGTCTTTTGGGATACCCTATATAATATATGAGAACAGGATGTTAGTTAGAAAATAGCAAAATTATTTAGCATTGTAAAAGGAGAAAACGTAGCGAAATTCAATTAGAATCTTGATAGATACACATTAAAATTCATGAATGTTCTTTAAGAATCCTTTTTTTTGCAGATTTCTTCAAATTACTACTCATCAATTTTCTTTGTTGAACTGTGACTGTAACATCTCATCAGAATTCTAAGAGAAATAAAAGAAAGAGAATCTCGACACGACTAAAGAAAATATCATAAACCAACAAATTCTGCCGAATGTTAATTACAATTCGGTTTTTGAATTTGGAAAAATCATGTACATTCAATTCTTCACGAGACAATATGAACTATAATGTCAATCTTGATAGGAAATTTTATTTTAATGTTAAGTAAAATCTTTCAAAAATGATCAATGGAAAGATTTTCTTTTCTTTGAAATTTTTATTATATATTGACTCTTGACATAAACAAACAGAGAAGATTAGTTGAAATCTTCGATGAAACTATTATTTTTCGTTGTCTAGCATTTTCGAATGATATATACTGATATTAACTTGAGATTTAGGACAAAGACAATAACATTAGGACAAGGTCTTACATTTCCTTAGAAATAAAAAATAAAGATGTGAATCCATCCAATATTCATCATTTATTTGTCATAGTTCTAGTGTGAATCACATGTGTACTAATGAACTTCAAACAACAGAAATACTCATACCTAGTGGTTCATGAAAGGAAAAAAAAGCAAAATCAAGAGAAAAAAAGTCAATAGGATCATATAATTGGGTAATAAAATTAAAAAAAAAAGATTGAATGAAATCAACTGATTTCAGTCTCTCGTTCGGGTATATTGTAATAATTCGATCATCTTTATTTTGAACTTGCCGTTACAGAAGACATTCTAAGCTTGTTCATAGTAGAAAAAATCCAAATCAATTTTCGACTCAGGAGTTCATAGATACCGTATATAAGAGAATTATATGGTTCTTTCGTAGTGATTTACAATTTACTAATGTCCGTTCCAGACTTAAAGGCACTCGGTTAAAAATTGAATAACTGGAGAATGCAAGCAGCTAGCGATCTGCGGTTTTCACCAATCGATAGAGAATTGTAGGGGACACATATTTATATAAAAATCAAGATTTAAGTAATCAGACACAATAGAAGTAATTCTGGAATCATTCAAAGAATAGGCTCATTCTTTGATGAAATTTAAGCAGATCAAGCTCAAACTTTCAGGCTATATAGCCTCCCTGTAGTTCAATCTTTCCTAAAAATATCATGCATAAATCTTGTAATGGCGAGAAATGGTGTGTTAATCATCATCTGGTCCTACATAAGGCTCTCATTCACTCAATATATGAGCAAATGAGCTCAACTTTTGACTGAATAAATAACATAATTTAAACTTCATAT